TAAGTCAAACACCTTTCTCCCCTAAGTTGTTTTCATCAGGGTATTTTGTCACAGCAGTAGAAATGAAACCAGGGCCATCATTTTCTGAACCTATGTTAAAATCCATTTTATTTCTACATGAAGTGGTTTTCTCTGCATAATTATTACCCACACTGAATTTTCTGGGAATTTTGCAGCACAATATTTAATAGGAAATGGAATTCCACTTTGTTAAAAAATCTAGCAAAATTTGCTCACCGTGTTAGAAAACCACAGCACCCAAGCCCAGCCTGATCCAGTTTTTATGTCACCACAGAGGCATACCTATAGTCTTTATTCCTAGCTGTGTGCCTGTGTTGTCAGTTTCCCATAAAATGCCAGCATATCATGACTTCATCATGTCTTCTAGTGAAGCCTATTTTATTATAAATTACTTCCTTTTATTACTCCTTTAGAGTATAGTTATGTCAGGATATTGATTTTATAAAATTTGTATGTGTAGGGAAAATATATGTACTCTAAATTTCATTTCAAGAGACAAGGAGGTTGTTACAAAAGATTTATTATAAAAGTACATGGAAGACATCAGTTGTAATTGAAACCTACTGCCCTACGGAGTGAAACACACAAATACACTGATAATTTGGCATCTCTGTTCCATCAGAGGACAGAAGATGCAGCTAAGCATTATTAGTCAAGACCTTAAAAATGCATAAAGTTTAGAAAGTTAGTTATTCTTTGTGTTGTTGTTTCAATGTATTCAAACATTTTTTCATTTTTTTGTTTGTTGGTTGGTTTTGTTTATACTTTGCTGCAAACTAGAAATTCAGGCTAAATGAAATGCTCCTGGTTAATGGAAACCAGGCTGGGAGCTGCAGAGAGCAAACCCCAAAAGACAAGTTAGTGCAGAGGAAAGCTAGAACAACAGATGTGTGTTTAGTCCCTTTTTGGTAAACGTGGCCATAACGCTGCTTCTAGATCTTAGTGAATAAAACATTTGGCACTAAATGCTTTCTTCCTCCACCAGTGGCATTTGACAACTGTGGTTTTAGTCAAAGAAGTAAAATTAAAATACAGATTAAAATTAGGACCTGCACTAAAGGTTGCTAGGTGACACAGGCCAGAAAGGTTGCTACGGACAGGGGTCAGGACTGTGTGGGGATGTGTATATGTCTAAGGCTTCTGGAAAACTTCAGAGCATTGTCTTTAAAAAAAAAGGCTAGGCAAACTCATGAACTCAACTACTGGGGAAAGGGAAAGAAAAACAAAATAAACAAAAATCAAAACTCAGAAACCCCAAAGGGCATTATCCCAAAGGAAGACTGGCAGGAGGCTGTCTCCCAGAGAAAAGAGCAGCTGTCTTTCCACCTTCCTCCACATGACAGGATAGGTTCAGAGCATGGCTTTTAGAAGTTCAGGGCACATTCTGCCACTGCATAATGAATAGTGGGAAGTTTCAGGAACAGTTAAAACCTAGACGTAGGCCAGCGTGTTGATGTTATATGCACACCTAGTAACTAATAATGCATACAACTAACAAAGAGATGATTTGATGTGGTGATGATGTCTCCATTCAGGGCAGCTCTTTGCTCATCTGTGCTAGTGAGTGTTCCAGGAATGCCCAAAACCATGGTTCTGCCCTAAGGACCACCCTCCTCTCCTTTCACTGCCTGACTGTCAACATATCTTCTGCCCTCACAGAAGCATCTAGAATATAGTTTGCCGCACAATTTTGCCTTCTCCTATTTGGGAGACTGAGAATGGGCATCTCTCTCCCTCTGAGTATCATTGTACCTTCTTGCATGTAAGTGGCTCTAAACGGTTCTATCTGTGGTCACACGGCTAGAACCTCGTGCGAATATGAAGGAGCGACTTCATGTGCTTGACTCAGTGTATACACATCCCTGTAGCCAGTTTATAGCAGGGGAGAATAGAACTCCAGGGGGAAGAAATGTGGCCACTGTTGTTCCTCAGGTAAGTGGTGTGCTGGTGTTTGAATTGTGTCCAGCTCCTAACCACTGTGCTGCAACTTCCCTTGTAAGGTAGTAGAAGGCTGGTTTTTTAAGTTCCCAAATCATCTGGGACTTCCTTTTTGTAATTCTAATTTCACATGCAGCACTTGTCCATGTCTGCCTCTTCCATTAAGCTGTGAGGTCCTGAGGAGCAGGAGTGATGTCTCTCTGGCTTTCACTTTGTCCCCAGTGCCTCGTGACATGCTTATACTAAAGACCAAATGTCTGTAATGTTTCTGGTTCCTAGATCTGTGCTTCACTGTCCACCAAAGGGCATTGGCCGCTGTAAATGCAAGTACAAGGTGCTCACTTCCAATCATTCATAAAATAAAGTCAGTCTCAGAAACAAGAAAGGGAAAGCAAGAGCCTTCCTATTTATTTATATATTCAAGACCCACTCAAGGCTTTCCTTTCTGATAACATTATATTGTCTAAAGTTTAGAAATCTCTCTCACTCCCTCTCTCTCTATAAATGCCACATACAAACTAATTATCTGTATATTCTTTAGGAACAATTTTAATAAGAACATAGTTAGTGGAAATTTGAAGTTTAAAGTTCACTGATTTTATATTAACTAAATATTTGACAGGATACAAAAGCTGGAAAAAATAAAAATATCATCATATTAACAGTAGAGTTACTTATACTAGTCCAAACCTGGAATGATTAAATTAGTCATGAGCCACATAATGGAATACTGTGTAGTACTGAAAACAAACTGTTTTGTACATTCAACACTAGTGATGAATCTCATAACAGAATTTTGGAAGACACCAGATGCAAAAAGCACACAAGGCCCATTTATCTAAAGTTCAAGTATAAGCAAAACCAATTTATAGTGTTCCATTCACAATGCTGATTACTCTGGCTATGAGCATAGCCAGTGTACAATGACAGAGAGGTATACAAGGAGCCTTTGGGGTGCTAGTAATATATTTGCAGATCCTTGTGCCCCAGTTTAACAAGTGCCCAGTGTGAGAAAGTTATTTAGGCACTTACAGCTGGTGCAGATAATTGTCTTCTATCTTAATGTTTCATTGTATTTCTGTGTGTGTGCATGTGTATGAATGTGTGCATGAGTGAGTGTGTATGAGTGTAAATGAATATGTCTGAGTGTGCATATGTATATGAGTGTATGTGCATGCATGAGTGTGTGTGGTGTGTGAATATATGAGTGTGCATGAGTGTATGAGTGTGTATGAGTATGTGCGTACGAGTGTGCATGTGTGTATAAGTGTGTGTATGAATGTGCATGTGTGTGCATGAGTGTGGGAGTGTATGTGTGTATATGAGTGTGTGTGTGTGTATGAGTGTGGGTGCAGGTGTGGCAAGGAGCATGAGTGGAGGTCAAAGGATAACTTTCAGGAGTTGATTCTGTCCTAACACGATGGGATCCAAGGACTGAACTCAGAATGTCAAGCTTGCATGGTAATCACATTTACCCACTCAACCATCTCACTGGTCCTAAAAAGGTTCACTTCTTTAAAAGTTCTTTATAGGAGACTGGAGAGATGACTCAACAGCACTTGCTGCTCTTCCAGAGGATGGGAGTGCATGCAGTTCCCAGCACCAACATTAGGTGTCTCACAACTGCCTGTAACTGTAGCTCCAAGGGATTTGGGATTTAAAGCCCTCTTCTGGCCTCCTAGGACACCTACACTTATGTGGAGTGCTCTCTCTCTCTCTCTCTCTCTCTCTCTCTCTCTCTCTCTCT